AGGTGCCAGGCCCCGAGCAGACCAGAGCGTCTCACCCTGGTGTCCAGCGAGGTCCCGCGACAGCCTCGGCCTGTCTACACGGCACGCGGCACACTCCCGGACGCCTGGCCAGGGCGGAACGTAGACATCCACGCACACGCGTGATCAGAGGCAGCCGTCTGCACATCTTGGAATCTCCGCTCTTGGGGAAATGTGCTCTCAGCGCAACAAGCTTCCATGAAACACAAGTTCCCGAGCAGAACTCGACAGAACTCACTGAACGTTCCTCCCCCACAACTGTGTGTTCATGCCGCGCAGAATTAAAACGTGGTGCTTAATAGTGAATTTGAAAAGTGGGTTTCAATCTAGCTGGCTCACTCTGATTTAGGAAATGGTCTAGCTCACTGACGAGCATCTTGCAACCACAAACATTCCACCAGTGTGGCGGAGCCAGCGCTGATTGGAGTATTTCAACGCCAGGAACACGTGTGGTGCGCAGCCCCAGCCGGCGACCCCTGCAGAGAGACGGCGGCTCGCGGGGACCCTACCTGGGCCCCCCACAGCCTTCCCACTCCTCCCTCAGCAGCCCTGCGAGCCCAGCTCCAGGGAAGAGGCAGCCGGAGCCAAGCAGGGGGAGGTGAAGGAGGGTGGGTGTCAGCTCAAGGCCTGTCCCCAGGGAGGGCAGCAGGACCCGGGCTCAGGAGTGAGAAGGGAGAACTCGCCGTGTCTGCCCCGGGCCGCCCTGCCCAGAGCAGACTGAGAAGGCCACGCCTGGAATCCCACCCAGTCTCCCTCCGGAGTCCCCCAGGACAGAGGACTCCTGACTTTTCATAGCGACACACAGTAACAGATGCATCTCACACGTAACCACACGCGTGCGCCGGCACATGCGTCCCTGTGTGTGTGTGCATGCGTACATGCGTGCATGCCTGTGTGTTACATGCCCTGCGTGTTTCTTCCAATGGCATCCACCCCCACGACACGGGATGCACTCTAGTGCTTTTACTCTGTTTCTTCCTCCTTCCTTTAAATGCTGGTCGTGATCCACCAAATTAATTTCACACCCCGCTAATGGGGTGACGCCCTGCGCTTTGAAAAGCAGTGATCTCGGAAATGCAAACATCAGCACGCGCCGGGGTCTACATTCAGTTAATCAATTAATCAGTTTATCACACGCGTTTGTGCAGGGCCCACTCTGGTGGGGACACAGGGACGTGGACGGCGGCAGCCCTCACAACGAGGGGGCGGCCGGCTGTGGTGGGGCTGAGGTGACCCATCTGAGAACATGGCGGGGGGATGGATTTAGCTGCAACCACGTGGTCGCAGGTTAAAGCCAAATGATGAGAAAACCACCATCTCTGGGAAAACCAATCTATGGTGAAACGTGGGACTCCGTATCGGGCTAATTTATCGCCCATAAGGGGCTCGAGATGTAATCGGGCGACTGGATGGTAAGTTCCAGTCTATGGTGTTCGGTTCAAGAGCTCAACTAACCTTTTAAGAAAGCTTTGAGAACAGGTCACCGTGGGCCAGGGATTCTATTAGGAGCCGTCTCTGTTGTTCCCAGAGACTCCTCTCGAGATACTCGGAAGGTCACAGAGCCCGCCCGGCCCCCGGAGCACACACAGTCGCTTGAGGGATCCGCCAGCCCACGCAGCCTGGGCCCCCGTGAGCACACACCTGGCCGCGGTCACAGGACACGTGGGCCAGGCCCAGGAAAGGAAAGCGGCACCCCTCTGAGGGTGGGAGACGCCTCTCTCGGGGGCCAGGTGGGGCAGCTGCCCCTCCTCTGCCTGGACTGGCACCTGCCCGTGTCCCTGGTTCCTGGTGTGCTCCAGGTGGGCTGAGGCCCGGCAGTCCCTGAAAAGCACCCTAGAGACGGCAGATCAGAGAATCTCCGTCTTCTGAGCTGAAGGACACATGGGGCCGCACACAGGGCTAGGCTGGCGTCCCAGCTGCGCAAACAGGCCCGCGCCAGCCTGGCCGTCGGTGGTCGCTCCCACTCTCCCAGCCGCGGTTTTCAGGACTTTTTACAAAACTGAGATCGTGTGGAGCTCCCAGGCCTGGGGGCCAAAGTTAGGGTCTCCAACGGCCTCGCGAGGTCTCTGCACGCGTTGAGCACCAGACGGACGAGCGCGGCTGTTACTCCCGCGCTGAGAAGGCCCACACCCCTCCCCCCACCCCTGGTGCACGGTCAGCTCCGCCTCAGACGCCGCAGAGCCAGCGCTCCCACCTCCACGGCAGGCCCTCTGGGCTTGGACTGAACTGACACAGAGATCACACGTGTCCTCTGTCTCTCTGGCCTCGTCTCTGCCACATGGGGAGGCCGCACGGGCCAGGCAGACCTGGAGGCAGGAAGGCCGGTCGGGCGGCCCCGTCTGGTCCTGGGGTAGGTAAACAGGCCCCTGTTTGGAAAGCAGAAGACTTGGTTCTGAGGATTTGACGTGAGTGAGAGAAGAGGAGACCAGTGTTCCAGGTCATGCAGGGACAGGGAGGGGGTCCTGACTCCAGAGTCTGGGCCACGGCGGAGAAATGAAAATGCCGCGAAGCCCCGTCCAGGAGGCCTGAAGTGCTGGGACAGGCCCGTCCTCACCAACCTGGGTCCTGATCGCTGGCCGCTTTGTGATGACTGCACCTGGCGATGTGGAGGGCCCGTGTGGGGACCGGTGGGGACAAGCAGCGAGAAGCAGCCCTCAGACATCCCGCCTGGGACACCCCGGCGATTTCGCCACGGGAGACGGAACGCTGCGAGACTGGACACGGTACCGTGAATGTACCACGTGCCACTGAACTGCTCACGTGAAACGGAGAATTCTGTGTTATGACTTTCACCCCAGCAAATTATCGAACAACACAACTGGGTGCTGCCGGCAGCCTCCAAGGGAGGACGAGTCCCACCTGCACCTGCACCAGGTGTCTCCCGGCTTAGAGGGGAGGGGCCGGACCTCTGCGTGGCTGGCGGTGGCCCCGGCCCCGGCTCAGCAGCAGCGACGCCTGCTATCCGCTGTGCTGTCCCCTGTGGGGTCTTCGGGGCCCCGACTTCCCACCCAGAGGGCCTGGCAGCGAACTCAGGGCAGCTTACAAGTTAGTTCCTGAAGGACGAGACGCTGGCCCCCGTCAGAGCTGACCCGGGACAGGAAGGACTTGCCAGGCGGCAGCTGAGAAGTGGCAGGTCGCTGACGGCACTCGGACACCCCTCCCGCAAACCCAGGGCTGGGGGGCCGCTCGCTCAGACGCTGGCGTCCGGGAGGGGACCGCAAAGGCCGTCCCGGCCAGCGTCCACAGGCCGAGGAAACCCACCGCGCCATCTGCGTGGGTTTCGACTGGGGGACGTGTCGGGCACCTGGAGACCTCGGAGCAGGGAGGGACGAGGGCCCGAGCCCTGAGGACGGGACGGCCCTGTCCTTAGCCACTGCCCTGGGCAGCTGCAGACGGTCATCTGACTCCCGCAAAGTGCCAAGGAGGTGGGAGCAGCAGACTAGGTGGGGAGAGCAGCCCGACTCAGCCCCGTACACGTCTGTGTGGGAGGCCTGACCGCCCCAGCCACACCCCGGGCTGCTCTGCCACCTGGACCAGGGCCCGTGGGAGCCAAGCCCGAGGAGGGACAGAAACACACCTATGGTCCCTCCATGCCCCAGGGCCCAGTGGGGACAAAGACGAGGTTCTTAACCTGCAACATGTGTCCTTCCAGGTCCTAGAGGTGGCCCTAGACTCTCCTTGTGCCTGTCACCCCTGGGGACAGCTTTCCCCGGCGGGTAAACACAGGACACCCAGGGCCCACTGGGCCTGGGGCTGCCCGCCTAAGCCTCCCGCCCCCAGGTGCCATTCAGGGGCCTGGGCTGAGGCTCACAAGAGAGCCCCCATCTCTCTGTCTCAGCCCCTCTCTGCCTGCAGGGCTGCCCTCCCCGCCCCCACACCTGTGCACCCAACGCCGGTCCCCACCGCACTGGTCCAGTGCGCTGCTTGGCAGCAGGCCTCTGCTTTCCAGAAAGCATTGAGATGGGGGAACTCTAGAAAGATCAACTTACTCCTAGATCCTCCTCCGAGAGAACAGCCACACCTCAGCAGCCCACCCGGACGCCCGCGGCCTGCAGGTCCCCGCACACTTCCGGGAGCGTGAACACTGATAAACGCACACGGCTGCGTGCAGACAAGCCTGGCGGCTCTCGGGACGACTCACGGACAAGCCCGGCCCTCCCTGCTCCCTGCACAGCCGCCGCCGCCTGGCAGGTGGTCCCGGGCCGGCCCCCAGGTTGCCTCCCAGGCTGAGGCTGCCCCAGTTCCCACAGACGCGAGAGGCCTCCGAGTCTCCGCGGGAGGGCCTGGAGCACTGGCCCGCCTGCCCCGCCAACGGGGTCTTCCAGCTGCAGCGGGGACCCTGCGGCCCTCAGATGCTGCTGCTGAGAGACCTGAACTGAGCCCAAACCCCACGTGCCAGGCGGATCCGTGGCTCTCTATGGGGCAGCTGGCCCGAACGCCAGAGTCCTCGCCCGGGCTGCTGGGGCAGGGAGGGAGTTCACCGCACACGCGAGCCCTGCCCGAGGGACGGGCAGGGCCTGGGACGTCCGCAGGGGCTCTCGGGTCTCTAGTATGAGCGGCCACCGTGCCAGGTCTGGGGGCAGGAGGGAGCACCTGACAACACCGTCCCGCCCAAGCCTGTCACCATGGAAGTCCCCTTCCCTGGGCGAGTTATCTCAAGCTCATCTCCGGGGTGCGGCACGTTTCCTGCAGCCTGGCATGATGGCACCTCTGCCCGAGTGTTGGCCTGACCCCAGCTGCCAGCCCCGCGGTGGCTCCATGCCCAGCTCCTGCCCTGTGCGCAGGCACTGACCCCTAACTGGGGACCGGCTGTCAGGGGTCAGCCCGGGGCTGAGGTGGGGAAGAGCCAGCTGGGGGCGCTCTGCACGGGGACAGAGCGACCAGCGCTGCCCGCTCCTCCTGGCCAGGGGGTGTCCACCGGCCCCCGTGCTCCGGCGTCTGTGGGGTCCCCCCACGCGCACAGAAAGGCAAAGAGCACGTACCGTGGTCGTCTTTATCCTCCCGCCGGGCTGCGTGCAAGTCCAGCCTGACCGGTTGATTAACAAGTCGCAGCCTTCCCCCTCCAGACACGGGAGCATGTCACACCACTGCTTCGTCCTGATGATCCGCGCTGCGGGAGAGAGGAGACAGGGCGGTCAGCGCGCGGCTCACCCGGACCTCGGGGACGTCCCCGAGGGCGTCTGAGACCCTGCTCACCTGATCTGGGGGACATCACCGAGGGCGTCTGAGACCCTGCGCGGTGGGAAGGCCCCGGAGGCAGCGCTGGCGTGGCCCCGCCGTGCAGAGAGGGCTGGCAGGGCAGCGGCACCTCCTCCCAGGTCTCCTGTCTCGGTGCTTAGTCCGTGAGATGGCTCTGCCGTGGGTCAGTCACGGACCAGTAAACAGTGACCGGGGGTGCTGGGGACGTTTGCACAGAACGGAGCCGCAGCCCTTCCCAGAGCAGTGGCAGCCTGTCTCTCTCCTTGTCCAGAACCCACCGAGAGCCAGGAAGGGGCAGGAGGAGGCGGCGACTGGTCAGGACATCCCGGCTGCACTGAGAGTGGCCTGTCCCCAGGACGGGCACCGAGGGAGCCCAGGGTCGGTGCCGGGGTGAGGCCCCAGCAGGCGGCTGCCCGGCGGACGTCACAGTGCACCCCAGCCTGCATTTGCTCTGCAAGCGCCAAGCGCCGGGCGGATGCCCGAGCTGCTCCAGAGCCGCCACACTGCGCGCGGCTCTAGGACTAAAGGCCCTGTGTCCTGTGACCACTGGACAGGGCAGAGGGCGGGGACGCCGGCGAGGCCAGGCGGTGGCGGTGGTGGTGGACTCCCGTTAGCACAAGGACTCTGGAGCACAAACCAACTTCTTCCGTGCAGGAGGAAACTTCACTTTGTCTCGTGCCTGGGAGCGCACCGCTGGGTGGCTGTCGGGGCTCAGCACGTGGGAGGCTCCAGCAGGACATGCAGGAGGCGGGACTCGGCGGTGGGTGAACGCCGGCTGTTAACACAACCTTCATCACACAACCTTCCCGTCAGTCACTTCCCAAATCAGGAGAAAACATTACGTCCTTCTTAACGCGCGCGTAGCTACGCTGTTATAGAAACGGCGCCTACGGTCAAGGTGGTGGACCCGCTGCAGAGCTGGGCACGCAGAGAGGATGCCAACGCCCGCCAGGCGCAATTTCCGCCCAGACCCAAGTCACAACACTCACATACGCGGATTTTGACCCAAGCTGTACCCCTGTGGTTGGAGACTGGGGAAAACTTTGGATCTTAGGAGAAAAAAACTTTAGCAGTCCAGGTCCAAGGTCCTCAGAGGACAGATGATGTCTCCACGCACTGGCCCGACAGCCGCCTGGTCAGGACAGCCCAGCCGTGGGAGACACAAAGGTGACCAAGGTACGCGCCTGGCTGCACGCGGCGCCAGGAGGGCCGCGCAGGGCTCGTGTCACCTGGTCCTCACCCACTCAGCGGTCCCCACGTACTCACTGTGTGGGGTCCAGGTGTGGAACTCCCCTTGTTTGGATGCAGATAATTCTCATATCAAGAACCTTCCCCTTTTCCCTGTTCTGACTCCTCCCTTCCGGGTGACTGGCCCCTGGCCCCAGGGGAGCAGAAGGCCCCGAGTGCCAGCCCCAGGGAGGAAGGGTCTCTGCCACCCAGCTGCCCACAGCTGCAGACCTCCCGGCCCCTCCCTGAATGCCGGGATTCCAGGTGTGAGCCACCACACTTGGCCTTTTTTGCCTCTTTTTCTGTTTTTTTAAAAACAAATCATAGAACTCCTGATTTGCATAAGCTGGAATGTGCTTGCCCAGGGTGTTTGTTTACTAAAATTCCCCAGCCCCGCCTCGTTGGGAGGAACACCTGCTAAATGGAATCATGCAAGTGTCTGTGAGTGCACACGCGTGTGTCCCACACGGCACCCTCCTACACCTGGGCAGTGGCACGTGAGTCACACGCAGAAGGGTCACTGCTTGGTTAACACTCTGTGGCTCCTGTGTGTCCATGGCCTGCAGGCAGGGACTGTCCCTGTGGGGGCAGTGGGCACAGAGCATGGGCGCTGGAGGGAGCACCCCCCACCGAAGCCGTGGGCCCTGGAATCCTCTGGGGGTCGGATCTGGGGTCCTGGGAGGCAGATGCAGTCTGAAAAAGAGCCAAGGAGAGCGTCCCCGCCAGGGACTGGCCTCTCACCGCCAGTGCAGACAAGCCAGCAGTGGCTGCCCACGCCCCGCACAGAGCAGGGTGGACATGGGCCCTGGGACCCGTGTGTCCTGCCGCTGTGCCCCACACAGGGCCCTGCCCACCCGGCAGTGGGGCCATCTAACAGCCGCCGCTCCTGAGACCACCTCCCTCCCAGGCCACGGACCGAACTGGGCCCTGGAGAACACACGGTGAAGCCCGAACCCCCCGTGTCGGGAGACGGGCCTTTAGGAAGAAATTAAGGTTCACCGAGGCCAGGAGGGAGGCGCCGTGGTCGACAGGATCAGTGTCCTGGCGCGCTCTGCACACGGAGGAAGGGCCACGTGCGGACACAGCGAGAAGGCTGCTGTCCACACGCCAGGACGCAGACCCTCGCCAGGAACCGAACCTGCCCGCGCCTTGACCTTGGACCTCCAGCCCCCAGAACCGTGAGGGGAATAAGCGTCTGCTGCGTGAGCCGCTCAGCCGGTGCGATTCTGCCACGGCGGCCGGAGCTGCCTCGCACCGCCGGGGGAGCGTGAGACCGGGGCGCCCACCAACTGCAGCGTCAGGTGTGGAAAGCACCCTACGGCGAATGAGCGGCGTCCCCTGCAAGGTGCGACTGTGCTCGCTGCCGCTCGCGCAGAGCCAGGGAGGGGGGCCTCGTGGCTCCCGGGGCGTCTCCCAGTGAACGGGCCACCCAGCTCCCGAGCCCAGCCGCCCGCCGCCCTCCGCCCTCCCTCCAACCCACGGGGCGGGCACTGCCAGCTCGGGCTGGCGTTTGTCACGCATCTCCCTTCAGCCCCTCTCCCTGCCTGCGTGAAGTCCCAGCAGCTGTGCTTCCCGTCCCCGACGCGCCATTTTGCGTGACAGTGAATATGGCAGGAAAACCTTCTCAGACTCCAACAAATACAAACCTTGGACCCACAAAGGAGCTGCAGGATTGAACATACTCATGCCCCAGTCCCAGAAATCCTGTTTGCAACGCCCGAGAAAAGAGCTGTACGAATTAGAGAAAGAGCTGTGTGTGTGCGCACGTGTGTGCATGCGTGCTTGCGTGTTTGGTGTGTGTGTGTTGGAGTCTCCCTGGCGTCAGCACTCAGGCGCAGGAGAGGAAGGGGCACCCACGTGCCTTGACAGAAATCCCAATCTGTGCTCCCGCCCGTCCCCGCCGAGGCTCCCAGGGAAGGTCCCAGCACCGTGTGGCCCCGGCTCCCATCCTGGGGCCTCGGAAACATCTGGGTCCCCCACACCGGCCCCCTCCTGCCCTAGGAGCCCAGTGCAGGGACCTGGCCATCTCAGGTGAGGCACGTCCTTTAACTGCAAACGGGGAACGGAGTTCAGAGGCAGCAAGCCGGGGTGCGGCTCCCCGCGACACGGCAGAGTGGGGTCTGCGGGGCCTCCCAGGGCGGGGGCCCGGCTGCAGGGCAGCTGTGAGAGGGGGAGGGGAGACAGCCCAGGCTCGAATCCCAGCGAGTAGCTCCCCTCTGGGCTAGACGTCCTGGTAAGCGAGGATGCTGGGGGCAGAGGACGTGACACAGGTGGCAGCCCGGGCACAGGGCCGGGCCGCCAGCGCCCACGAACACGGGTCCCTTGAGCCTTCAGTCAGGCCAGGGAGGAGGCCGGGGAGGCCACGCGGACTGTGGAGCTCAGGGATTGACGGGAGACCCGGCAGTCTCCGATCCCTAAGTCCTGGGCACACACCTCCTCGTCCCAAGACAGGCACGTGCTCCCTGGCCAGGCCCAGTCACCGTCCCTCTGGCCTGGACAGGATGCTTCAGACCCTTGACAAACTCAGGTGACCACATGTGTGGCGTGGCCCAGGGTGAGAAAGAGAGAGGAAGGCGTGACGGCCGGGTCCCCACGGCCTCAGCTGGGGGAGGGGGCACCAGTCCTGCCCTCGTTACCGCCACGATGCCTGGCCACACACGCAGACACACACCACAGAGGCACGCAGATGCAGGCACACACAAACGTGCACATATCGAATGCATGCTCACAAACATGTACACACTTGCAGGTGCGGCACACTCACACATGCACCCACGTGCACATTCCCACGCACACACGTGTACACACATGCACACACTTTGTGGGCTTGCCTGGCATGCAGCATCTGTAGAATGAGAAGACAGCCGGTCACGGGCCCCACCCCGGGCCCTGGGCGTGGGCGTGTCTGGGCGCCATCCTCCGGGGCCCTGGCGGCCAGTGCTGCACACACAACGCTTTGTCTGCCCGCGGGAGCTCTCTCACCCGGCCCCATCCACTTCCTGCTGGAGGCGGGCAGAAGCACAGCACTGGGCCACCATACCCTGGGGACAAAGCGGCCTTTCAAGCCCACACCTCACACCCTGTTTCACCCGGGCAAGGGCAAGAAAGCCCCTCCTCTGGCCCTGATGTGGCAGCAGCTCACGGGACCAGGGAGGGGCCTCTGCAGGGGCTGATGAAGCTTCCTAGGGGGTGAGAGGCCATGGCTACAGCCCGGACTCTGGTGGACAGTTGTCACAGACTGCCCACATGGGATGACCCAGGGTCTCCAGGGCACGCAGCAAGTCAGGGGAATGGGGTCTCATGCATCCCTGCGTCCCCAGTGGCTGTCCCCAGGCCCGGTGGGAGCAGGTGCTTGGGACGTGGCTGCAGAAGGGCCCCACTGAGACACATCTGAGGAGGGTGTCCGGGTGCCAGTTTGTCCAGACTGGACTAGGGCGTCGGCCAATCCTGAGCCTCTGAGGGGGCCCCACAGCCCCTCGGACCCGGGCCAGCCACCCACGCTCGGGAGGGGTGAAGGGAAGTGACGCCTGCTCTCTGCCCCGCCATGGAGCCCCCAGCACCTCCCCCGTGGAGGAGCCTCAGTCCAGCATCCAGAGACCCTGCGCCCAGCTTTTCTCAGACTTCAGACACTCGTGGAAGCTTAGAGAACATTTAACCTTTGCCCTCGCTGTCCCTCACTGCACC